CCTTGTGGGTGACATGACACACCTATGGAAGGTGCAGGATTTTGTCCTAGAGCTGGACAACTTGGGGAAGTTGCAAGCTGCTCGACCAAACAATAAAGTCTGTGATGCAATGCTGGAAAACTTCTCCACCAGGCTCTCTGCCATTCAAGAATGGACAGGCCAGGATGTCAGGTCGGCTCCATGACCTTGCCTGACACATGGAAAGACACCTGCTGCCCTTTGCCATCTTTGCACATGACCTGCATGGAAGGTGAAAATATGTATTGGTGTGATGGTTTTGTCGCTGGATGGGTTTGTTTGAAGCCTGTTGGCTGTTTGTTTGAAGCCTGTTGGCTGCCTCGTGCAAGCCTGTTGGCTATGGGAAGAAGCCTGCTGGCTGTGAACAAAGCCCTTTGGCTATTGAAAGCCTGTTGGCCGTTGGCTGACATATGTTCTGGGCTATGGACAGCATGTTGATGGCTATAGCAGAAACATTGAAAGGCTGTTGGCTGATGGCTGCGATAGCCTGTGGCGCATTGGGTTTGTTGTGTTGCTTGTTTTTTTTGTAGAAGCTGATTTTTTAATCACTGTTTGCCTTTTGAAAAAAATGAGATGCTAACTAGTTATAACTAGCTAACAAAAGCTATCTAGGGATCTTAATTATGATAACTAGTTAGTAAAAAACAGATCCTTTAAGTGACGTTACCTGGCACGTCGCAGTCGGGATCCCATAAAACAGTTGCCTGGCATTGCCACAAGCTCGGTGTGCGTGTAGGCACAATGCAGCCGCAGCGGCGCTGGCATTGCCACAAGCTCTGTGCGTGTGTAGGCACAATGCAGCCGCCAGCGGCGCATTTGCCAGAAGCTCGGTGTGCGTGTAGGCACAATGCAGCCGCAGCGGCGCATCTATTTCTGCCCACATTGGGTGGTGGCTCGGCCAGGACATGAACCGCCCACGGCTTGGTGGTAGTGCCAGGACATGAAAGCAGAGGTAGAGATGCCAATGCCAGGACCTGACGTTACCTTGCACGTTGCCTTCGGGATCCCATAAAACAGCTATGCCAGGCAGAAGCTCGGTGTGCGTGTAGGCACAATGCAGCCGCAGCGGCGCTGGCGTTGCCACAATCTCGGTGTGCGTGTAGGCACAATGCAGCCGCAGCGGCGCATTTCCGAGGCAAACGACACCATCTATTTCTGCCCACAAGAGCAGTCGGAACGGGGCCCCTGACGTTACCTGGCACGTTGCCTCCGGGATCCCATAAAAAAGTTGCCTGGCATTGCCAGAAGCTCGGTGTGCGTGTAGGCACAATGCAGCCGCAGCGGCGCATTTCCGGGGTGGCAAACGACACCATCTATTTCTGCCCACAAGAGCAGTCGGAACGGGGGGGGTGCAGCCAAGCAAAATGCCTGACGTCACCCCTGACGTTACCCGTGACGTTACCTCGCACGTCGCCTTCGGGATCCCATAAAACAGTTGCCTGGCATTGCCACAAGCTCGGTGTGCGTGTAGGCACAATGCAGCCGCAGCGGCGCATCTTTTTCTGCCCACATTGGGTGGTGGCTCGGCCAGGACATGAACCGCCGTGGGGGTAGTGCCAGGACATGAAAGCAGAGGTAGAGATGCCAATGCCAGGACCTGACGTTACCTTGCACGTTGCCTTCGGGATCCCATAAAACAGCTGCCTGGCATTGCCACAAGCTCGGTGTGCGTGTAGGCACAATGCAGCCGCAGCGGCATTTCCGGGGTGGCAAACGACACCATGTATTTCTGCCCACAAGAGCAGTCGGAACGGGGGGGGGTGCAGCCAAGCAAAATGCCTGACGTTACCGTGACGTTACCTGGCACGTTGCCTTCGGGATCCCATAAAACAGTTGCCTGGCATTGCCAGAAGCTCGGTGTGCGTGTAGGCACAATGCAGCCGCAGCGGCGCATCTTTTTCTGCCCACATTGGGCGGTGGCTCGGCCAGGACATGAACCGCCCACGGCTTGGTGGTAGTGCCAGGACATGAAAGCAGAGGTAGAGATGCCAATGCCAGGACATGAAAGCAGAGGTAGAGATGCCAATGCCAGGCCATGAAAGCAGAGATCGAGATGCCAATGCCAATGTTGCACCCTGCGATGCCAATGCCACTGTTGCACCCTGCGGTGTCTCGGGCGCCTCCCCGCCTAGGCTTTAGCTCGGCCGGGGTCGGCGGATATTTTTTGGTGTTTTTGAACAGTGTTCCTGTTTGAAAGCCAGGCATCGAAACCAGGTCAGCGGTTTGAACAAGTCAAGAAGAGTTTCTTGTTTGAACAAGGAATTGCGGGCTCGGGGGTCCATGCCTGTCCACAGACTGTCCACATATTGCCATGACTGTCCACAGAGAAACTGTTGCCACTTTCGCTACCAACCCTGCCCCTTTCAGCTGGTTGGTGAAGTCCTGGGGTGCAATTTGTGAACGGATTCTATCTTGCTGCGACAACATGTTCCCCGACAGTCATATCCTTTGGCATTCCCAAACTGATTGAAGCCAACAACCCTGGCGCAGTAAACAGTTGCATTTCTCAAGTAGAGTGCTACTTTGCGGCATTGAACTAGCTTGCTGCAGTGGTCCGGCTCATAGTTACAGTTCCAAGTGCGCCTTACTAAACCTCAGCAGACATGCACAACCATATCCCTAAAATCTTCAAACAACACATTCAAAAAAGCTTCTGACAGGAAGAGCACAAGAAACAGCAATTAAAGGTCAAAGGTGTCATAGACACAAATTTGGATGCGCGAGCCCAAGACAGCCAAAGCTGCTGCCTTAGCAGGTCGTGCGAGCAGCTTGGCAAGCAGAGAGTTGCCAGGAAAACCTTTGCTTTTGCCATTTGTTGGTGGGAGGGTCTCAAAAGGGACTGATGAACCAGACGAGTTGCAACTGGGCATGTTTGGCTGGACCTTGGAAGGGGCAAGCTGAGTTATGCTGCCACAGTTTTGGGTGGGGTACTCCCAGAGTTAGAGGGTCAAGATGGGCGACGCATTCAGCAAATCGTTAGGGGAAGACAAGCGCACTGAGGAAAATGTCTTCAAATTTGCTTAGTTTTGGCAGCTTGGCTGTTGGAAACAAGAACCGTTTCCTGTCCTTCAATGTGTCGAGGTGTTTGCCCTTTGTGATTCCTAGGGGTGAATGAAATCATCTGAGGCGGCAAGGGGCCTTTTTGTGTTCCAACTTGTTCACCCAGCGTCAGTTCATCCCGCAGTGGAGCCTCGACTGTCATTCTAGCAGTTGATGTGTGCTTGAAAACGGAGTGTATATATATTTCGGAATTACGTTTCTTGTTAATTTGGAAGCTTTTTTTAAATAGCTTTTGCAGGCTTGTGGCTTTTGGTGGCTTTTGGTTTTTGCTCTTTTGGACTTTTCTGTGGGGAGAGTTATTTTTTAAGGTGTATTTGTTTTAGTTGTATTTTTGTGTTTGGTGGTTAGGTGGCTTTGGTGGCTTTTGGCTTCAGGCTCTGGGCTCGAGCCGTCCCGGGGCGTGATCCTGTCCAGTCGTGTAGACTGGCAAATCGAGCCGTACCATGGTTTCTGGTATAGATATAGCTGCCTCGATCTTGGAGGACTTTAAGTGAGGACTTTGCTATTCAGGTGAAGAATGCATCTGGCCGATTGCATTTGACTGGGGATTTGGTGCGATTCAAGCTTTGGCAACCTGAAGGGTTTTCGGGTAGCAGATATCGAGCTGAAGTTTGGTCGGTTCCTCAGGCCAAACGCTTAGATCGACAGGTATCCATAGTATGGCAATCAACAGAACCCCGCCCAGAGGTGGGTTCCTTTGCCCTTGGTCGGAATTTGGCTACCTTGGAGCAATCCAAAATGATTGCTCCAGTTGAGGTGCGACACAGTCCATCTTTCCATGTCCTGGAGCTTTATGCAGGAGGAGTAGGAGGCCTGGAATTTTCTGCAGGATCATGCCCACCTCTCCCATGAGACGATTGCAGTGGAACAAGACCTTACTGCCTGTATTGCTTTTGCCATGAACCACAAGGCCTCCGTTGTGAATGGATTGGACAGGCTGTGAAGCGATGATTGGGCATTGATTCCAAAACCTATTGTTCTGCAAGCACACATTGAGCACTCAGGTTGGTGGTCTGCAGTTGGGAAATGGGGGGTGGACATCATCTCAATTTCGGCCTCACGCAAGCCATGGTCAGGTGCAGCATCTCAACCAGGTTTGTTGGCGCTTGAAGGAGAGACCTTCGCAGTTGCTACCCAATTGACCTGCCTTGGTGTTCCTGGAACAGGTACATCCACACGAGCCATTGTTGCCTGCTCAAGATGGCAGGATATGTGACCCGTTTGGAAAAGATTGTTGATGCGGCTGGCCAAAGCGCAGTACACCGATTCCGCTGGCTTGCCATTGCAGTCCGATTTCATGACATGTCCGTTGTCCGCAAGCCATTTGCCCCCTGGAAGAAGAGCCAATGTACTCAATCCAGCCTGAAGGCCATTGTTCAGTGGGACCCTTCGCAACTTGCAACTCTGCAAATTTCGGAGGAAGCGCTTCAGAAAGCTATAGCAATTTTTGCCACCAGTCAAACGATGTTTTGCCAAGCATCTTTCGGAGGAAAAAGTGCTGGCCCTTCGTTGCAACCAAGGGGATGACCCGGTTGACGCGTTTATGGCTATGTACACATCCCAACATGGCCTGTCCGACCAAGTCCTTCGATCCAAGGGGTACATGGCACATTTCGTTTGTGTCCAACCTTCCTCCGTTCAGTCTTCCGCAGGCTGCAGTTTGAGGCTTGCTTGCTTCACATTAGCTACAAGAGGTGCTTCATTGCGCAAGACCGTGCAACAGCCTGGGTTCACGTTGGAAAAAAGATTTCGCTCCCACATGCCATGCTGGTCATTGTGAATGGAATAAACCAGGTGTTGGCAGGGACCGCGGAATTCGACCTCCATGAACTGTTTGGTCAACTCCACAAAAGCCGCATGCAAGCTAGTCGATTTCAGCGGACGGATTATTCTGAAGGCATGCTCTTTCGTGATTGCTTGTTTGATGCAATTGAGTAGGACCCAGTTGATGCACAACCCCTGCTCCACCTGATTTGCACAGGAGCCTTGTCTGTTGATTTGTTCTGGCAGTGTCAGTTTGGATTGCAGACCAAAAGTACGGTGCAACCGGTCCATTCTGGTGTATCTAGCTTGGAGCTCGGGGAAGGACACCTGGCAGCGCAGGACCAACTGCAGGGAGAGTCAGCCATACATGTCTCGGAACCTGCCAACAAAAAGCCAAGGCACTCCCAGGACCAGTCACCAGCTGCTGCGACTGCAGTGAATCCGTCGGACTCAGAGGCAGGGGATCCATTCTTTGACCACTTCCTTTTTCGACAGTTTCCCAACACCAGAGGACTTTGGTGTGACTATCGTATCAAGCGCGACCAATTGGTCAGCATTTGGCACCAGCAGATTGTCAGCCTTGGCCATGAAGAACCCCCCCCCCCAATGCCGGGAAGGGAAATTGTGCAGTTCGGCTCGTGCTCGATTTTTTCGGCTGACCTTATTGGATCCCAACCACTCTGCCTGATGTTAGGAGGTCAACTGACTCATGTGGCTCTCATCCTGCCAAAGACACGGTCAATGAACGCCTGGTTCGTTCAGTAGGCCCTCGGATCTGGAACCAATTTGGTCAGGTTGAGGTTGGCGCAGTTTGGGAGTCACACATTGCTTTCTTTGACCATCACTTAAGTGCAGGTTCATTGATTAAACCGGTAGGCGTCCTGATTCCGGCGTTTTGTTCGTTGCCAAGTCATTTCCACTGGTCTCCAGAAGAAGATGCTCTCCAAATCACGATTGTAGGATGGGTCCAAGTCATTGGTGCCTTTTGGCATGGAGTCACTCGGGATCTCCTTGCATCGCTAGGACGGCAATGGTCTCTCACCCGAACCGGAAACCAGGTGACAATCGAACTTACCCTTTGTCCTCCAAGGTTGCGCTGCCACCAGATCACTCCTGGCCATCGGAGTCTCGGCATTTCGCACTTTGTTGGATGGATGCCCCGCAGAGGCCTCGCAGTCACAAATGACTCTCCTGCAGTGGAACTCGCATCACCTGTGGGAAAGGCCACCTTGATCCTGCGTGTAGGATTAAAGACCTTGTTGATTTTGTGAGCTGTGTCTTACGTCCGGTCATTGGGTCTTCCGACATCAGGTTTGTCATCAGAGGGCAAGTTTTGTCATGCTCCGCTACAGTAGGTGAAGCCACCAGGCTTCAAGTTGCACCGTACATTATCCATCTTCAATGTCAGCTGGTTAGCCGCGGAGCAGGACCCCAAATTGCCCCTCACGAAGGTGATTTTCTCCAAGGTCCACATCGTGAGCAGTGCAGCCCAGTGATTAGACCCACGGCGCATGGCCGTCGTTGCAGGCTGTTGATCAGGCAGACCATTTGTCAGCCACAGAAAACTCCAGCCTCGGGCCGGGTCGCCCCAGCTGACATTGATACATGCCACTGCAGTGGCATTCATGCCAGGGTCCTACCCCTTCTTTGTCATTCCGGCCAAGAACTCGCAGTTGCCAGAGGTATTCCCAATGCGCATTACATTTGTCAGGTGGCTGTCAAATTGGACATCTCATTGCCAAGATTCGAGCCGTTCTGTCAGCCCAAGGAAGGCATATGCAGGTCCGATCTATGTTGTCTCAAGCGTGCAACCAAGATTGAAGAGCTGGCACCATCAGTCTCCGATTGGCATTTCCCTCGCACTTTGACCATCACTGCAGAAGACTTGTTTGGTGTTGCATTCAAGCATACCCATAAGACCAGGGTCTCCAATGCAATTGCGGGCACCCTTTTGGAGGGAGGCTTTGACATCCAGTGGGTTTCCAAGACCATTGAACAGTTGGGTTCGAAAGTTGATCACAAAGACCTCACGGCGGTCGCTGGCGTTCCTGCTGGCCCGAAACGCCTTGCAGCCGTCATTGAGCTTTGCGCCAGTCGACAGATTGAAGTTCCGGCATCAGGGACCAAAGAACATCACCCCAACCAGTCGTCAAAGCAACCGAAGCATCGCAAGATCCAGGCTCCTCCGGATCCATCGCAGTATCGACTTGCCGCAGGCTATTTCCTCAATGAGGTCAATTCGGAGTGCGAGCGAATTGCCAACTTCAAGCCCGGCGCCACGGGTATTTTCCTGTGCTGCAAGAAGCAGCGCAATGGTTACAATCTGCGAGCCTGCTTAGCAGTGATGAATTGGCCCTGTTGATTTTGGGGGAACTGCCCGTTTCTCACTGCCTCCACCCCTGTGAGGACCCACATGGATGGTCAGTCATCCTGGCAAGGCCCAGATGAAAGATGATGTCATTCTCTCCAGCTGGGGGCGCAGCTTTCGGGCGGACAACAAACCGTTACAACCTCACCAGGCACTTAGTGTCCAGATCCACTGCTTGGTCAAATCCAGTGAGCCTTCAGCAGTTCTAGCAGGCAGTGGCTTTAATCACCTGTTTGCCACTCCCAAGGATGAGCAAGGGAGACCAGATGCTGGCTACCGTATCCTATGGTTCACGGCTGATTGGGCATATGCGAACTCCTTGGCGGGACGGCTGGTCAACCACCTTGGCCTGGTGAAGGGCAAACACAAATTGGGACTGCGCTTCACCTTGGACACGTTTGAAGAGGCCTGGAAGATTGCAAATCCGTCAGCTCCGCTACCATCGGCAGTCTCCTCAAATCATGTGTATAAGATTGATGCATTGCCCTTTGTCACGCAAGAAGCACTGGTCAAGTGGGCGCAGAATCCACCTCGTGGAAGATTCGACCATTCAAAGCGCTTGGACCTTGGGCATGGCTATTTGGAGCTGAAACTGTCCCAGAAGGCATTCTCACATTCAATGGCTCTCCGGTGTTGGTGCGATTGATTCCTCCCAAGAACTCTCCAGCTTACTCGCCCATTGTTGCAGGACCACTTCCACAGCATGCTCCTTCGCAAGCACAACCAGTTGACGGCTTCCAGGTCAATGACCCATGGGCAAAGTGGCATCCATCAAGAACCACTGGCTCCTCGTTGAGTGGCCCTGGACATGCACTGCCGCGCCAGCCTCAAGGCCGTCTTGAAGCACGTTTTGTTGACAAATCGCCAACCTGGAGAAGACGGTTCAGCGGCTGGCTGAGGACCACACCAAGCAGACTGTGGCTACATCTAAGCAACTGCAAGTGATTGCCGCCAAGCAAGATTCCGTTGAGAAGCAATTTCAGGCTCTTCGTAC